AAGCAGTATTAGATTTTATTATTATTATTATTCTTTACTTTTCTTTTTTTTCATATAATTGAAATTTTAAATAAATTTGAATTTTTTTTTTCTTTTTTCTAAAACAGAGAGAAAGAAAAGAGTCAAAATAAAATAAAATAAAAAAAAAGGGAAAAAACATGACAGAAGGAAAAATTTTTTTGCACAATGTCTGTAATAAAAAGCACAAATTTTTGCCACTTAACTCTTTTTTCAATTTATTTTAATTTTTTTCTTTTTTTGTTATCTATTTTTGAGACATTTAAGTTTATTTTTTGCATAAATTTAATTTTAACTAAAAATTTATTCAATTGAACATATAAAATATGCAAAGAAAAAAATTTGTTAAATAAATTCGTCTATTTTTTTCAATTTTAAAATTAAAAAACAAAAAAAACGAATGAGAATAAACATATCATCTATACATTATTTACATTTTTTTTTTTTGTTTATTTCTTCATTTTTCAATCTATCCCTCATTCTTCTTTTTCCCATTTAAAAATAATAAATTGTTATTTAAACTATTTAATGTGATTCAAAAAAAGAAAAAATTAATTAAAAATCAAATGTACAAAATTGATGTAAACAATTAATGCATTTCTTTTTGTATTTTGAGAAATAATAAAATTGAAACGACAAATTTTTATGATTTTTGATCGACACATTTTGAGTGGGTGTTTTGCTTCTCATTGAATGCTTAGAAATTCAATTATTTCCTAAATTTACAATATTGCCTTGTTTTTCCACTCCTCTCACCTCGTCTCTTTCCGATGAAAATTATTCATTGAAAGCTTTTGAAATTCTCTTATTGACGTCTATCAACTGATTAAGTAAGTTTTCCTCTCATTGACATACATACATCAATGAATAAATAAAAGATAGGAAATGAAAATTTGATAGTTTTAAAAAAAGAGAAAAAAAATTTATTTGATAGTTTTAAAAAATTTTGACAGTTTTCTTTAAAAAAAAGTAAAGGAAGAGACAAGCACATACATTTATTTTGTTTTTTTTTTTTTACTTTTATAAAATAAAATTAAAAATAAGCATATGAAATGAATAAAAAATAAATAATAATTCTATCAAATTTCAGAAAAAGAAAGAGAAAGAGAATGACAGAGAAAAAAAGCACAGAAATAGATTTTGTTTTATTTGATCAAAATTTTTAAAAAAAAGAAAACATTCTATTAAATGAAGAGAAAAGAAATATATTAAATGGAAATATATTAAATGAAGAGAAATAAAATAAAATATTTCTGTGAAATACTTTAAAAAAAAAACAGAAAGGAAAAAAAAATTATAGTTTGAAATGATTTTCTTTTTAAAAATTTTCAATGTTATAAAATATAATTAATTTGACTGATTAATTTATTGTTACTTTTTTATTTTTTATAAAATTATGGTAAATAAATCTTTTTGTCGAGTGAAAACATAATGAAAGAAAAACAGGAAAACATTATACCTTACAAAATATTTTATACAAAATTTGGAATTTTTTTTTTTTTTTTTTGTTTATTTCTCGAGGAAAAAAACAAATAAATGTTAAAGTAGTAAAATTATTTATAAAAATATATATTAGTGTAGTTGATAATAACTTATAATAATTTATCAATTATGTCATTTTATATCACTACAAATCATTCTTGTATAGATTTTTTCTTTTCCTTTTTTTTTTTTTTTTGTTTTTAAATAAATTTCTTTTTCCCTTTTTTTTCCTTTTTTTTTTCTTAAATAACATATGCATCTTTTGTTTCAATTATGAAATTGCTTCTTCTTTTTTTTTTTGAAAAAAACAAAATATTAATTTGTTTGTTTGTTTGTTTTCTTTTCTTTTTAATTAGTACATGAAAAAGAATTAAAGTGAAGATTTTTGCAGAAAATAAAAAAAAACTGCGAAACATTTTTAAGCTAAAATTTTAAATCAAAAAAAATATATATATATATGCTATCTGTTGTAGTCTAATAGAACTAAACTGCTAAAACTTTGCTATCATTTTTCTTGCCCTTTCCAAAACTTTTTATTTTTTATTTTTTTTTTTTAAAGAAAATGCAATCATCATCATTTGTCAATGCAAGCACAAAGTTTGCCAATTTTGATGCTTTATACTATTCAAATATGAATTATCGATTTTTAGTGATAAAAATCAAATTTGTAATTAAGACAATAGCAAAGAGAAAAAAAAAGTGAAAAGGAAACAGTAGAAGAAACAAATTGATAAAAAAAAAGTTATGCATAATTAATTGGTGTTAAATTCAAAATTAAAATTTAATATTAACAAATATAAAAGGAAATGAAAAAAAGAAAAAAGAAGAGAACAAAAATTTTATTTTCTTTTTAAATGAAATTTAACAATAACAATAATATTTATTGCTATTGTATGAGCAAAAATAAAACTAGTAATAATACTAATAACAACAATAATAATAAAATTTAAAATAAAAAAAAAAAAAAATTGCAATTTGAAATGAAACAAAACGAAATCAATTAAACCTACCCAAAGTGGTATGCAAAAGGAAGCTTTAAGAGCAGACCACATTTTGCCCTTTTTTGCCTTTGGTATGCTTTCTATTTCATTTGGATTAGCTTCTTTTTTTTTTTTTTTTTTTTATTTTTTTTTTTTTCTTTTTTCTTTCTTTTTTTCTGTTTGTTTTATTGTATTCAATTCTAATTTTCCAATTTATTTTTTGGATTAACAAAAAAAAAAGAAAGAAAATAAATAAATAATAAAAAGAAAATACATAAGAAAAGATAAAAATGTAAAAATGGAGAAAATGTTTTTTTTTTTTTTTTTATTTTAAAAAATATTATTACAAATGTAGCATTTGTTAATGTAAATTTCAAAAAAAAAAAAATGCATAAAATTCTCTAACAAATAAAAAATCTGTGTGAAATTTTTTGGAAAATAATTATTATTGTTTATCTATTTTGTTTATTTTGTAATTGTATTAAAAATTTTATGAGCACAATTACAAAGAAAAAAAAATGTTAAAGTTAATTTAAGAAAACGAATAGTTAAGTGCATTAATCATTTTTTTTTTTTTTTGATTATAAAATAACAATTTGAAATATTTAGTGAAATAGTTTAAAATTTTCGACAATTTTTAATTTATCAATTTTTTTCATTTCTTTTGCTAATTTTAACATTTTGAGCAAAGCAGAAACTAGGATACTGAATCTTTTTTTTTCCTTTCTCTTTTTTTATTTTTCATTTTATAAAATTTTGATAAATTCATTCAAAACTTAGGCAAATGAATATTTTAAAATTGAAAAAGAAAAGAAGGAGAAAAGAGAAAAAAAATGAAAGGAAAAAATTACTAACGAACATTTGTAAGGCAATAAAGGAGGAAAATGAAAAAAAAAATTATTGTTAATAAATAAGAGAAAGTAACAATTGAAATTTGTTTGTTTTATTGTTATTATTGTTACTATTATTATTATTTACAACTTTCAATTATAAATCATTAAAATGTATCGTTTTTAATAATTTGTTAATCTTTTAAAATTTTTAAGAAAATTTTTTCATCAAATAATGTGCTATGATAAGTGTTATTCATTAATAACAAATACTCAATATGTGACAAAAAAGTTTTAATTATTTTAAATTGAAAAAGAAATGAAAATATTTTGAATCAATTGAAAGTATACAGCTGCTACTGCTTTATATATTTAATGATAATAAATATTTGCATATAATTGTAACACATTTTAAAATTTGTTGTTTAAAGGCTTAGAAATAGGAATGCAATATCCTTATTAAAATATTTATAAATTTATTGAAAAAGTTTTAGAAAAAGATTTGAATGCGTAATGAAGTATGCATTATGTCGTGAGAAGAGAACGATTATAATCATCAAACTTGTAATTTAGTAGTATTAAAATGTATGGAAATTTAATTTCACTTAAGTTTAATAATTTTTGAATGAAAGAAATTTTATATTATTTTGTTTGAATTTGAATTGAATGGTAACAAATATAAAATTCAAATGCATAATGTTTCTGAAAATTTGTAAAAAAAAAAAAAAAAAAAGAGACGAAAAAGTAGCACCAAGTTTGCAATGAAATTGAATAGCGATGAAATTTAATTTCAATCAAAGTAGTTGGATGGAAAAAAAGTGTCAAATTTTTGGTTTTTTTTTTTTTTTTTGAATAAAAGGAACTAACAAAATATACTAATAAAGAATGAAATATTTACCTTATTTATTTAGTAACCAATCTAATATCACTTATTTCATTTAGTCATTTGTGTTTATACATATTTAATGCATATATCTAATAAATTCATACTTGACGTAAATACAAGAGAGAGAGAGAGAGAGAGGGAAAGAAAGGAAGAAAAAAAATTTTGTTCCATTAAAAAGATAGCAGAATTTTAAATTGAAATACATATATTTGAAAAGAATGAAGCGGAACAAATTTTTATCATTTAAAATTTATGAAATGAATCTATAGTTTATTTTTTTTCTAAATGAAAGATTTTTGATGCTTAAACTTTGATACTTTTAAATTTTAAATTTATTCAATCATATCAAAATTGTATAATTGCTGCTGTTCGTTAAAATGACATTAAGATGACTAATAAATTTTTTTGTCATTTTATAAAAAAATTTTCCTCATTTTATTTCTTAAAAATTTGTTAATACTAAAATTAAAAATAAAAAATTGGTAATTGTCAAAGCAGTTATCTTCAAATTAAACTTAATGCACACGTAACATACAAAATACAACTAATACAATAATTTTAACAAAAATGTGCTATTGAATCTAGAATTAAATTTTTTGTCATTTATTTTTGAAAGTTATAATTTTTTTTCTTTTCTAAGATATTTTATAATTGCTAAGAAAATTGAATTATTTTTTTTTCTTTCATCCTTATTTAGCTCTTTTTATAACAATTTAGCTTGTAACTTCTAATAAATCAAATTTTTTCCTTTATTTTTGATTCCATAACATTAAATTATATTTGTTGATTAAAGTTGATTTAATTTTAAACCTGTTCAACGGATGGTGATAATGATGAGCTTTGTGAATAAGCATTTGTACTAGTTGAAGTACCACTTGAATGATCTAGCGAATATTGTGGTTGATTAAATTTTCCTCCTGCTTGTTGTTGCTGTTGTTGTTTATGTTTATGTTGTTGTTGTTGTTGTTTTAAAGATGCTAATCGTTGTAATGATCGTAATGAAGTATCATATGATGAATTACTACAATCATTTTGTGAAACTTTTTGTAAATCCGAAAATTTTCGTTGAATAACTGTTGGTGATGGCCATTCATTATCAACAATATTATCAGTAATACTATTAGTATCAGTATTATCGTCGTTATCATCATCATCATTATTATCATTATTAATAGCAGTAGTAGTTGTTGAATATTGTTGTTTTACTGCTACTCTATTCTTTTTATCAGTAATAAAATCATTATGAATTGGTGTTTGCGGTAGACGTCTTCCAGTTATTGTTGATCGCTGATCTGAATTCCGATGCTGATAAACTGATAAATCAGATGCAGTAGTAGCAGTAGTAGTAGTACTACTGCTACTAGTAGTAGATTTTGATGATAATGATAATAATGGTGATACCGATTGAAATGATAATGGTGGTGTTGGAAGAAATCGTGGTGATGATGAACGACGTATGTGTTCGTTTGGTGTTTGTGGTAGAAGACGATGTCGTCCAGTTGATGTGACAAATGATGTGACAGAAATACTTGGCATACTACTTGTACTATTACTTCGACCATATGGTTCAAATGTTGATAGCATTGATTGTAATGGTGGTGTATTTGATGTTGATAATGATGTTTTATCAGATAAAATATGTTTCGAATAATCATTATTATCATTTGATAATATTTCACGCATTCTCTCTTCTTTTTTCCTTTTCTTTCTTTCTTTCCTTTTGTTTTCGTTCCTTTTAATTTAAAAAATAATAATAATAATTTTTATACATTTAATAAAAAAAACAAAATTAAATTAAATAAGATAATCGCAAAGCTAAAAAAGCTAAAAAGGTAATAAAATAGAATAGTTAAAATAGAAAAAAAAAAGAGAAATAAGAAAAATAAAATCCTTCACAAAATATTCAACTATTAACAAACTGCCAACGAGTTAGCTTTGTTGCTTACATTACTGCTTTTAAGGCCATTAGAAATGTTTTCTCTCTCTCTCTCTCCTTTTTTTTCTATCCAATCTTCTCCACCTCCTCCTCCCACTCCTCCCCCTACTATTATTACTACTAAAATTATTCTTACTCTTACTTAAACTTTTACTTCTACTCCTCCCCCTCTCCTCTTTACTCTTTACTTTTCCCATATTTATTTATTATGACTATAGTCAAACCCCCTTTTATGAGACAAATATCAAACATCGGTTTTATCTCTTTAATTAATTTCCTTTTTTTTAACTCTCATTTGTATCATTAATTTAGTATGTTATATTATTGCTACAAAAAATTTAATTCTCCTATGCTAATTATTTCCTCTGTATAATTAACGATGTTATTTATGCTTTTATTTGTTTGTTTTCTTGTTTGTTTGTTTATTTGCTTGTATATTTATTTCTGCTATTGTTGTTATTGTTGTTTTCATCATTACTGTTGTTCTTGCTATTATTAATCTAACATTTCCTGTGTATTTCTTATTTTTTTCCATTTTTCAGTGTTTATCATCGTTATTGTTATTGTAGTTGATATTTATCACTTATTATTACTATTATCATTATTATTATTGTTATTATTATTTTCTTAAATGTTTTTTTTTTCTTGTGTTATCATTTACAATCTTTTCAAGAATTGCTTTTAAAAAAGTATTAAATTATAAAACAAATAGGAAAGATCTAGAATTATTTCGTTTTATCTACAAATAATAATAATAACGAATTATTGTTTTGCTATAAATGTCTAAAAGATTAGTAATGATTAGTTTGTAATAATTTTTATTTTTTTATTCATTGATTAAGCTAGGTGCGTCATAAGAAATAGAATTTTGAGGAAGTAAAATATAAGAGATTAATGATAATTGATTGGATATATTTTAAATAAAATTCCATCAACAAAAACTATTAATACATTTAATTTTTTCATTAGAATTTTTTTTTCAGGAAAAATTACGTTTGAATATTAAATTATTTGAATTATTAGTGATGTATATATGTTTATATGAATGTGCATATTTGAACAAATATTAAATTTAGAAACATTTAAACGAAACAAATTTATTCACTTAATGATCGAATTGAATGGATGAAACGATTAAATGATGCAATTCAGGCGATGGTATTTTCTATTTAATTATAGATGTGATAATATTTTCTATTTAATTATAGGTATGATAATATTTTCTATTTAATTATAGGTATGATAATATTTTCTATTTAATTATAGATATGGTAATTATCATGAAATATATTATTATCATTGTGTGTTTTCTTCATTTGAATATCGTCGAATTTTGATAATTTTAATCATATATTAGATAAAATGATTGCAAAAGTAAGAACAATACAACGATTATTTGTTTTTTTTTTGCCTTTCTCTTTCATTGTTATGTCGTAACAAAATTGTATACACATGTTTACATGAAAAATAATCAATTTGAATTTGTTAAAATAAAACAAAATTTATGTTTTATTATTAATTAATGAATAAATCACATTGATGAATCATCAACATGATATGTAAACATTTCTAAGTTGCATGAATTAATAAATCGATCAATTAAAAACTAATTAACATAAATTAAAAGTAATAAACATACATTATCACATACATACACACATACCTACATACATTGTCACATACATACACACATACCCACATACATTGTCACATACATACACACATACCCACATACATTGTCACATACATACACACATACCCACATGGACTTTTCTACTGTTACAAGTGAAGTAATTAATAAATAATATGAATAAATAAACATAATAGATGAACCGATAAACAAATATAAATGAATTTGCAACTTTTTCGTCCAATAATTCGGTTAGATTAATTTTTACCGGTTAACCGGCTAACTGCCGATAAAATCGAAATCAATGAAATAAATAGTAGGAGAAGAAGGATGAATAAACAAAACCAAAAATTTTTTTTTCACCAATTTATTTATATCTCATTGGTGTTATTCAGTCATATTGAATTTTTATTTTTATTCCTTTTTGACTTCTTTACGTTTGTAATATTTGATTCTATCGGATAACTACTGATCTAATGGCTTATTATTATTAATAAATTGTTAATAAAAGTTAAATTTAATATTTTAATTGATTATTAATAGAAATCAAATTTGATACATTAATTTTATTGATTTCAAATGTTTAAATAAAAATGTCCAACTGCTATTTTTTACAAAATTTCCATATATATTTGCATTGTGATTGTAAATTACATTTCAGCATTCCATTGCAATTCAACCGGATCTGTTCGATTATTTGCATCGTTCGTTTCAATTCATCTACTTCGGATATTTTGAACAATTGAAGCTAATTGCTCTGTTAATCATTACAAATCATTGAAGTCGATTTGTAAATAAGAAAAAAAAAAGAAAGGAAAATTTGTCTGTTTTGTAAAATTATAAAAATTATTTAGCATTTTCTGATTAGTTTTCATTTGTAAGCTTTTTTTCCCACCTTTATTTTTTCATAATTTTACTCATTCTTTTATTTTCATGCATATTTTTTCAAATTTGTAAAGATCACTAATTAATTAGCATATCCATTCATTGCTAATTATGATTAGAACTGATAATGATTTCATTATTCGTTAAAATTGTATGATCGGTTTCAGAATATTTTTATTCAAATACTTACATTCTTTCTTTTCGTGCAAATATTTCATGTAATACAATTAAAATTTTCAAATTTTATTTTAAAATTTATTACTAATCATTTGCTGTTCAGATTATTAACATTAAAAACGAACTTTTAAATTTTGAAAAAAAAAATTTTAATTTTTAAATTTAAATTTTGTAAATTTAAATTTTGTTCATTACTGTATAATGAATATATCTAAGTAATTAGCTTTTGTCAGAAATTTAATACACAAAAAATTTTCCTTTTTCGTTTCTCTCTTTTTTGTCATTTAAATCATTGTTTAAATTTTAGAAAATCTTAGAGAAAAAATTAGCAAATATTTGAATGAAAATTAGAAAGAGGAAAGAGAAAAAAGGAGGGATAAAAAGATAGCAAAATTGAAGGAATGCAATGGAATATTTCTTCAATCCTTCAATTCCTCTTTACCATCGTTATTTTGTTATTATTATAATTGTGATAACAATAATTATTAATATTGCAATATTACTATTATTATTATTGTTACTATTGTCATTATAATCATCATTATTGTTATCGTTATTTATTATTATTAATTGTCATTATTTTCAATTACTATTCATATCAATTATTATTGTTTGTTAATGTTATCAAATATTATTATAATTGTTATTGTTATAAAGTATTATTACTATCATTATTATTATTTTCAAATTATTATTACTACTATGAATTGCTGTTACTACCGGTAGTTAATGTCATTTATTATTATTAATTATTATGATTACTACTATTTTTAGTATTATCGATTATTGATGATGATATTTTCATCATTATTTTTGCTTTCGTTGGTTATATCATTGTTATTAATAATAATAATAATAATTATTATTATTATTATTATTATTATTATTATTATTAATTATTATTATTATTATTATATTATTATTATTATTCCTCTTCTTATTATTATTGTTGTTATTACTTACTACTATTTTTACGATAACCGATTATTGCTGATGATATTATTATTTTTACTTTTGTTGGCTATATTCTTCTTATTATTATTAGTCTTAATAATAATAAAGCTATTATTGTTATTGTTGTTATTATTATTATTATTGTTGTTGTTGTCTGTGCTATTGAAAATGAATATCAAATGACTGGAAAGAATGCGAAGAAACTATTTCCGGTGCTTTTTACATTTTCTGAAGGAATTTTCGAATTTTCCAGTAGGAAAATAATCTTCGAGAAATGCTACTCCTTCTTATGTTATAGTGAATGATATGTGTATGTGTGTGTGTGTGTATACAAAAACATAAACACACAGACAGACACAGACATATGTTTTACATATGAATGAATCAAAAATGATTGGAGGGGGATTAAAACAAAGGTATATTTTTAAGAAGATGAAAGGGAGAGAGAGAGAGGGTAGAAGAGCAGATGAGAAAAAAAAGACGAAGAATGAAAATGAATGAATGAATGGTTGATTGGATAATTTTAATTTTGTTAAATATAAACTATAACAATGATTAGAAATGAATGAATAGAAAAAAGAAAGAGAGAGAGAAAGAGGGAATTGATAAAAAAGAAAAAAAAATAACAATGAAAATTTCATGTGATGATTTTTATTTCTTTTTTATCCCTTTATTTACATATTTATTTAAAAAAATATTTCTTTTTTTTTTTGTTTTGTTTTTCTCATTCTTTTCTCGTTATTTAGCTATTGTATTTGTTTTTAAATTCTGACTCATTCAAATTTTTCAGTAGGGTAAATTTTTTTTTCCAAAAAAAAAAGAGAAGATTTGGTATTAGGAAATGTTTAAAATTTGAAAAAAAAAAAAAGGCATAAATATATATTTATACGTACAGATATACACACATGGACATCCCCCATCCATATAAATTTAATTAAATTAATTCATTAAAAAGAAATTAATATCAAGAAATCATTAATGATCAAAGTTAATTAAAATAAGTAAAAGATAAAATTATTTGCAATGACTAAAATATTGTGCATGCTTCTTAAATTTTGCATTTTGCTATTACCAAAGTTTTTCGTAAAGAAATTTAACAAA